GTCATCTTATATATTTGTGTCATACTTTTTACCAGTTTAAAGTGCTTTAATGCCATTCAAGTGCTTTTGAAGTTCAGAGACTGTCATTTCAGTTATTTCAACATCAATACCTATCTTAATATAGAACAGGGGCAATATCTCTTGTGTCCTGTCCTGGTATTGTTCTTCCTCAAAAAATATCTAAAGCAGATTAAATCAGGTCATTGTCACATTGCTTTTTGTGGGATCTTGCTGTATGCTTATGGGTTGCCTGTTTTCAACAGAAGTGACTACACTTTTAAAAAGATACTTTGTCTGTAAAGTGCATTGAGAGGTCTGAGCTTGTGATATTTGCTGTATCATCTCTGTCTGTCTCTGTCTCTGTCTCTTTCTTTCTCTCTCACACTCTCTCTCTGTCTCTCTCTCTCTCTGTCTCTCTCTGTTCCCCGCCTCTCCCTCCTGCTGCTTCTCCCTCTGCCGCTCTGCTGCTAACCCTACCCCCCACCTTGTCATCTCCCCATCATCTCTCTGTCTCTGCTTCTCCTCCTGTGTTTGCTGTTTTCTTTTTCTCTTTCTGTCCCATTGTGTTTCTCTCTGTCATTATTTCTCTTCTCTCTTTTCTTTTCCCCATTTTTCACCTTTTTTCCTTTTTGTGCTCTTTCTCGACGTGGATCCCTGTGACTTCCAGTTAAGACAATTTCTTATGTTACCTCTTTTTAAAAAGTCATTATTTCTGGAGAAGCACTTGGCCGACATTTCTGTGGTAAGCAGTGGAATGATGCCAGTCCCATCAGAAGGCATCATTGTGTTGCTGTGTGTGATAAGACCAGCACAAGGCTCTGAACTGTTTACCATTCCTGAACAATAGGAGATTTGCCAGAAAGTTTCGTCCTGAGGCCAAATCCTTTTTTATAATGAATGTATTTTTTATTTGCTCAGTTCTATCACGTCATTTCAAAGTGGACAGCAAAGAACTCATGCTCGGGGGTGACTTGTAACTTAGGCTCAAGCACATTCCACGAGGGTACAGAAGCTTTTTTTTTGCGTCCATATCTTCTTCTAACAACAACTGCATTTAAGTTGTGCCTTTAATATAGCAAAATATCCCCAAGGCATTTCACCTAACTGATTATCAAACCAAATTAAACACTGAGCTGCGGAAGAGATATTAAGTCATGTGGTCAAAAGTTTGATCAATGATGTAAGCTTTGAGGAGAGTCTCAAAGAAGGAGAAGGAGATAGTGAAGGCAAAGATTTCAAAAGGGAAAGTCCAGAGTTTAGGGCTGAAATAGCTTTGGCATGATTGCCAATATTGGAGAGATGAGAATTGGGATGTGCATGAGGCCAGAAATGGAGGAGTGCAGTGATCTTTGGAGGGTTGTATGGAGATAGGGACAGTTGAGACTGTGGAGCAATGCATGTAAAAGACCCCAATACGATAATTTGAACAAGAACAAGGGTAGGTGCTCTCCCTGGTGTCCTGACCAGCATTTATCCCTCAACCAACATCACCAAGAACAGATAATCTGCCCACATCATGTTGCTGTTTCTTGCAGCTTGCTGTGTACAAATTGTTGTGGGCCAGTTCAAAAGTGGTGTCATGTAGATTCAGATATCCACCTTTCTGGTCTAATAAGAGCCTAGTTGAAGTAAATAGTATGAAATTAATTGCATCACTGCAGCTTTTTACATGCTACATGAATATGACTGATAGAGACTGTTAGGAGCATATTATTCCCAGGTCTGTCTCCCACAATCTCCTTTGCTTTAGCCATGTTTCCCCAGTAGGTGGTATTTACTGTAATCATTCAAGCACTAACCCTTTCAAACCCGTGTAGAACATCTTACCCACAGTCTTTTCTCTTACATAATTATTGTTACACATTGTTTGTTTGTTTTTTCATGGACATTACTGCTCAACCCTGATTGCCCATAGGATAGTTGAGAGTCAAGTGCGTTGCTGTGCGTCTGGAGTCACGTGTACGCCAGATAGCAGTTTCCTTCCTAGTGAACCACATTTGGTTTTACAACACTCAGCAGTGGTTAGATGATCACCATCAGCTTAGCTTTTCGTTCCAGATTTTGATTGGATTCAAATTTCAACACTTTGCATGATGGGATATGAAAGCACATCCATAGAACATTTGTCAAGGATTACTAGTTATCATCCCCTTCTCTGTCTTGCTCCAGAAAAAGGTCTTTGAATTTACAAATTTTGGAGGTTTAGTTATTCTCCCCAACCATCTTAAGAATATAAGAGTCACAGAAGTAGACCATTCAGCCCCCGAGTCCACTGTGCTATTCCATGAAATGATGGCTGATCTTTAATTCTCAGCTCCACTTTCCTGCATTTACCCCATAACCTTTGATTCCCTTGCTGGTTAAATTCTGACCATCTTGGCCTTGAATAGACTTCATGCCTCAACAGCTCTCTATTCTGAGATTATGCCCTCTAGTCCTAGACTCTTCCACAAGGAGAAACAGCTTTTCCGTATCTATCCTGTTAAGTCCCCAAGTAATTTTGTATGATTCAATAGTATGTTGAAACATACAAAATTACTTGGGGACTTCTCATTGGACCTGTCCTCGCTGGAGTTTAGGACAATGTACTCAACCTCTCCTCAGAAGACTGTGGTCCCATTCCTGGTATCATCCTAATGAACGTCTGGATTGCCTCCAACTCAAGTGTATCTTTCCACAGGAAAGGAGCTCAACACTGGGCACAGTATTCCACTCGTGGTCTTACTAGTGCCTTGTATAATTTAGCATAACCTCCCTACTTTAATATTCCATTCCCTTTGAAAAAAGGCCAGCATTCCATTGCCTAAATTGTTACTTGCTTCATTGTACCAAATACTTATACCACTGGGTTCAATGAAGAACAAGCATGCTTGCCCTACAAGTACACAACTGTTGTGTATAATGTGCTATACTTGACTGCTAAAGCCTTATGATGAAATTATATCCATGTCAAGGTTGAAATTTGCAGAAAACATAAACTCAACAGGTAATGATTATTAACCACTTCTAAAACTCTAGGTGGTAGAGAGTGACAAACAGTTTGCCTCTGGGGAGCTGCACATTAGGTCATGATTGGAGTTTTGTATCTGGCCAAGCTTAGTCCTGTTTAGAAGTAACAGTTTTCTGCTATTTCTCCAGCAGAATTACAATATTTGTAATGCATTAGTGCTGATATTAACATAATTTCTACTCTAATTTCCTCCAAAAGGATCCCAATGTCTGGCCAAAGTACAAGTTAGAATCAGAGAATCCTGTACAGACAGAGGCCATTCGGCCCATCAAGTCTGCGCTGGCCATCTATAGAGCATTCCACCCAGACCTAACCCTCCATTCTATTCCCTTAACCCCACATTTCCCATGGCTAGCCTACCTAGCCTGCACATCCTTGGGCACTACAGGGCAATTTAGCATGGCCAATCCACTGAACCTGCACATCTTTGGACTGTGGGAGGACAAGGCCCCACTGCTTTGTAACCACTGATCATAGTCATAGAGAGTCATACAGCATGGAAATAGACCCTTTGGTCCAACTAGTCCACACTGACCATGTTCCCAAACTAAACTAGTCCACTTTGCCTGCATTTGGCCCATATCCCTCCAAACCTTTCCTATCCATGAACTTATCCAAATATCTTTTGAATGTGGTAACGGTAGCTGCATCCACCACTTTCTCTGGCAGTTTATTCCACACATGAACCACTCTCTGTGTTTAAAAAATGTTGCCCCCGATATCCTTTTTTAATCTTTCTCCTCTCACCTTAAAAATATGTTGCCTTGTTTTGAACTCCCTCAACCTAGGGACAAATAAACAAGAGTTCTAGACAAAAGTTTTACAGATTGTAGGAGGCTAACAAAATATACACAAATTTAGGTCTCTGGATTGGAAAGCAGAAGTTTTGCCAGATTTCTATTTTCTTTTGTCTCCCAAAACTTTATTGAAGCAAGTTCACTAGGTAAGTGACATTGACCATACACATGGGCCCACATCATCTTTGTTTCCTCTGTGTGGATTTAGCAATATACAGAAAGTAAGTTGCCTTTATTTCTGTTTTTGTTACTTCACAATTGGCGGCAATGTTTCTATTTGTCAAGGCCAGTGTTTCCTGAACACTGTTCTGCTGTGATCCCTAATGCTTGAAATTTGGTGTAACCTCACATTGAAAATTGGAGGTGGGAGGGGGGGGTGCGGCAAAGGTGTTGTTGAGCAGTTGGTGTGGAGGGAGCAGGAAGAGTTAAAACAGCAGCAGTATAAGCACATCACGATTTATGACTTTCAAAAGAGCAAATGTTTGTAGAAAAATAGTCTTGGACACCGACCACTTTGTAGGTTCTTTGGGAGGTAGTGATGGGCTCACCTCGTTAAGATACACCCACCGTGGAATCATAAAATCCCAACAGTTTGAAATGAGGCCACTCGGCTCATCGAGTCTGCACCAACCCTACAAACAGCATCCTACCCAGACCCAACTCCCCAGGCTATCCCCATTACCCTACATTTACCATGGCTAATCCACCTAATGTACACATCCCTGGATGCATTGGAGAAATTTTAGCATGGCCGATCCACTTAACCTGCACATCTTCAGACTGCACATCAGACCAAGGCAAAAACAAAGTCATGTTTGCACATGTCCAGGGCCTTGTTGTCAATGCTAGTTTGGTCTCTCCTGAATCTCTGTTTCTTATCTGCCGCAGGGCATGGTGCCCCAATGGCAGAGAAGTTGCAATCCACAGTCTGGGAATTTCTTGTCTTGGCCCCACGTTCTTGTATTCCAACCCTAAACCTCTCAGGTATTACCTCCTTCAGATGTTCCTTGAAGTCAATCATTTTGACCAAGCACTTGGTAAAGTGTCTTGGTAAATCTGCCTGCAGCCATGTTTTGTCCGATATTGCCCCCGTGAGGCATCCTGGGACATTTTTAAAACACTGAAGGGGTGATCTAATGTAAATTATCGTAGATATTCTGTTTGAGTGATGCAAGTTTACTCTTGTCCTCCAGATGTCATGGCGGCCTCAGTATCGCACATCAAAATTCCGTCACGTGTATGGCAAGCCTGCTACAAAGGAGAATTGCTACGACGGGGTCCCCATCACCAAGAGTGTTCAAGACAACTATTTCTGTTCTGTGAATCCAAAGTTCATCGCGGTAGTGACTGAGTGTTCAGGAGGTGGAGCTTTCTACATCATTCCCATTGGCCAGGTATGAATTTCAGCCTTTTGACTTGAAAACGAAAGGTGTTTATTAATCACTAATTGTTTAACACTGGTGTTCCAATAACCATTGCTTGGTACTTGTCCTCCATTACTTCCCAGGTGATCTCTCTTCTATATTATATTTGCTATTTGTGAAACCAAATGTGATTAGTAGTCCAGAAGAAGACTGCTACCCTCTGCCCCCGTTCAGCCCAACTAATCCATATCAATGTCTGCAGGAGCTTTCTCTCACCTTCATCTATTTCCTTTATCCTTCCTGTTTATCCAGCCTCTGCTTAAATGCATCTATCCTATTTATCTCAGTTACCCAGCTGCTGTCTGGTTATAGGAGTATCTGTTGAATATTATTAGATTATTGAAATATAGACAAAATACTCTAGATACGAGAGAAACAGAATACAACAACGTGCTTGGAAAATACTGCAACATCTGTGGACAGAGAAACAGAGTTAACGGTTGAAGTCAAATGTGACATCTTCAAAACTGAAGAGAGGTGGAAAGTAATGGGTTTTATGTTTGGACAAAGTTGGGGAGTGGCAAGTGGGACAGAATGGTAGATCGGGGGAATGTGACGAGGTGAGGGAGATTCTAGGTCAAAGGAGTCACTGAACAAAAGGCAAAGGGAATAGTCATGATGAGTGACAAGACGTAAATCCAGTTTAGGTGTTAACAGCAAAATAGAAGCCAGCTGTCATTGATGGCAAAAGAGAAGTAAAATACAGACATTGGGTGGGTTGATGGAACATTGTAATGGAGGTCAGGGTTCATGGTCTGAAAGTGTTGAACTCAGCGTTGAGTCCAGAGGCTGTAAGTTGTCTAAGATTAAATGCGGTGCTGTTCCTCCAGCTTGGGTTGGACATTACAGATGGGTTAATTAGGTTTCTATTTGAGGTCCTTTGTCAATGTGAATGCTTCATTAGTTATCAGCAGCTGATGGTCTTTGAGGAGGGCTTTTTCCCTGAGGCCATCAGGTGGTTCAGTAGGTGCTAATACAGAAAGTCACTTGAGCTCTGCTGGTCTTGACAAGGTTTATTAGTGACTAGCGTGTATTGAGATCTCATGACACTCTCTGGGCCAGACGTTGCAGGTTGAAATCCCGCTCCAGGAGCTGATGGCCAAGAAAGGTGTGTTCATAACCTGACCAAGCCTGTATATCCTTCCAACGCACACCAAGGAGTGGGCGCTAAGAGGGGGACAGATTGCTGGTCAGTGATGTGATGGGAAGAACATTTGAGCCTCTACCATTGCTATCTAAAGCTCCAGGCTACAACATGTGTGTGCATTTAGCCACAGAAACCTGGATTCACTGTGTGAACTTAACACTGCATCTTATCTTTTATGACCTTTTTGTTTCCAGTTGAAGATCAAAACTTTCTTCACACCTATCTTATCATTAACCCTTTCACTATTTTAAGGACACCCAGCAGGTCAGCTCTCCACTTCCTTTTTTCTCGTCTCTACTCATTTGAGTTGCAGGTACAAGAAGATTGATTATCAGCACAACTACAATGAATGCTAATGTACATTGATCTGAATGTTCCTTCCACAGTCTGTGGTTAAATAGATTTGTTGAAATTTTTGACATGCCATGTGACATGAGTGTGGGGTGATGAGAGTGAAATTGGTCTTTTTTTTGGTGGTTGGACATCCAAGATCTGGGAGTTACTGGGAGTTAAATCTGTAGATTTTTCTGCTGACGATTAATTGCTGTCAAAAAAATTTGTACTGATAGAAATTCCCGCCAATATGGAAGTAGACATAATGTGCCTACAGAATGGAGTGAGGCGGAAAAGAGATTGGGAAAATTTCTTCAACTCTGGTAGAAAAGTAGAATTCCTTGCATGCTGGGAATCTAACATGAAAACCGTCCTGGAAACATTCAAAGTAACAGGCAGCATCTTCTTGAGCGGTGGGTGGGAGGGGGGTGAAAAATGGAGAGAGAACTTTTGGTGGCTACCTCCGACAGCCCCAGGTGCCTACAAAAGGGTTTCCCTTTTCCTTGCCTGAGACCAACTCCTGCAGCTAAAGAAGACTTTTACTTGGATTCTGATTTGATCTACATAATCTTTAGAATTTTCACTCTGAGAAATCTCTGCCTCTGAAGGCCCGACTCAATAATGAGGGAATTCTAGTAGGATCAGCACGAGAAGATGTGAGAGGGACAGCAGTCGACTGATAGAGTATGAGCAAAATTCAAAGGCTCCTCTAGTCACTATATGACCACACTCCTGCTTTTAAGTCAGGAAGCCATGATTTCAAGTCCCACTGCAGTGATATGAGCACTAAATCTCCGCTGAAGTTCCCAGTGGAGTACTGAGGCAGTGTTGTGTTCTCACTGATGTCTTTTGGAAGAAATGTGAAATGAAGGCCACATCTTTGCCCTTAGGCAGACATGAGACACAACATAAACTGATAGTCTGAGCATTTTCTCATTGCTGCCTGCGGGACATGGCAGCATATACATTGGCTGCCACATTGTAACAGTGACCACACTTTTTAAGAAGTGATTCATCAGCTATAATCTGCTTTGGGAAGTTGAGAGATTATGGAAGACACTTTACAAATGCAAGTCTTTTGATGTTAATCTGGGGTTGTGTTTATGCTTTAACAACTCATCTTCTGTTAATGTCTGAATGACCCTGATGTAAACATCAGAAATAGATGTGACTTGCCTAATTACTATGTAGTTTGGCATCAACAGGAAGAGAGCTCAACTGTATAATCTACATTCGAGAGGATCTTTCACTGACCCCATATTGAGTTGTGTTTGTTCAGATAAAAACGTTTTAGAGTCTCATTTGTGGAAGTTGTGAGCAAGTCATTTTACCAATTTATACTGCTGAGTGCTCTCAAGTTTCCTGTTATGATTCGCAACCAATTTATTTCTTCCTTTTTGCGCATGTTTCCAGGTAATGATCTGTCCTGAATTCGTTAGGGTGGTTTGTCTTAAGCATTTATTGTGTCGCTCTACAGGGTTTTGAATGGCAAATCTTCTAACATTAATATTGTTCTGTTAATAGACAGGAAAAATAGATCCACTTCAGCCAAAAGTCTGTGGTCACAGAGGAAATGTACTGGACCTCAAATGGAATCCATTTGATGACTACATCATTGCTTCTAGCTCTGAAGATAGCACAGTAAGTCACTAATTCTTCACACTTTCTTCTATTTCTGCCTGCCAGGGAAAGATAGCCAATAAAATCAAAAGTGGAGCCATTTTTGATTTTGTTTACTTGGACTCCCAGAAGGCTTTTCAATAAAGTTCCATGTCAAGGTCTTACTAAAGTGAAATGCACAGTGAGATGCAGGATGTTGTATGTATTCTCAAAGGCAAAAAGAATGGGCAACAAGATTGACGTATAGGATGAAGGAGCTAGAGGGAGAATGAGAGCAGAGATGCTGTACAGTCTCTGATCATTGAGATAACTTCTCCAGGCTCTATACCCGCCAAGCTCATTTGCTTAAATCCAGATCAATGCTTTTGTTACATCTAGACCTGACAATTCTAATGGCTCTGGGCCAACTTACCAGCCCTTATAAATTTCAATGCACAAAAGTCTCTCTGTACCCATCAAATCCCATTCATGCATCATCCCTATGCACATTGATCTCTGCTGGCTCCTATTCTGCAAGTGGCTCATTTTAAAATTCACAATCTTGTTTCTAAATATGTTTATGGCCTTCCATCCCCATCTGTCTCTGTAACCTGCTCCAGTCTTGGGGAAGTAATGTTTAATGAATCTGATTAAAGCTTTTTGATCTGTAGTTGACAGGGTGGATAAACAGTGGATCAAGTCTATTTGTGCGTCTAAACAGCATTTGAAAAGCTGCTTAAAAAAAGTTATACAAAAGTAGGGCTTATGGAAATAGGATATTAGCACAGATTGAGGATTTGTTACAGACAGAAAACGACAGTAACAATTGGGTCATGTTCAGCTTGGTATGCAAATAGTGGGCTACCACAAGGATCAGTGCTTGAACTTTGCCTATTTCTAATTATCAACTCCGCCAAGGAGATAAACGTACAATGTTCAACTCTTCTGGCAGCCCAAAGCTAAATAGGACAGTGTACTTTGAGGAGGATGCAAAGATGCTGCAAAGGGACAGATTTAGTGAATGGTATTATGACCAGATCCTGGAAAGGTTTCCCTAATTTGTCATAATTCCAAACTCGGGATACTCCAAGTTACGAAGTTCCCAGTGGAGGAGGAATGTAATATCTCTCCATTTTTATTTAGTTATCCCTTTGTGGTAGCAGCAAGATCCTTTTGAAAAGGATGTCTTCACTTGTGGATACCTTTTGTCCCAGAGTAAAGGAATTTATGTTTTAAAGCAAACCAATTTGACCAGGCTTCCTTGAGTTAATATAAGGTTGCATTTGTTAGTTAACAACAGAGGAAGAAATAACACACATGCACAGATTAGGACGAAGAAGTGAGCCCCCAAAAAAGACAAAAAGAAGAATCGGTCTCAGAATCATTCATGAAGGGTAGGTGGAATATCATTGTAACTGTTACAATGGTTGTTACTGGTGTTAGAAAGGGGAGGTCAAACCCCTTTGATAATTAAATCAAAACACAAGCCCCCGTCTGTTATGGTGTGAGCAGAGGACCCTTTCTAACAATTAAACACGAAACACTCTCCGAGAAGCTCGCCTCACCTCACCTAATCTGTTAAACTGTTATGGAGAAGGGGTGGGTAAATGTAAGTAAATCTCTGATATTCACTTATGAGTAACAAGTAACAGGTTTAAATAAATAAATTAACAGTGAACAAATTAACAGGACTACTCACAAACTGAAGAATTCCTCCCTAACTCCTAACTATCCCCTAACTGAACAAAATTCTACTGATATGCTATTCCAGTAAACACAAGTCCCACTTATATAACCCAAGTTGTAAGGAAAAATAAATTAAAACTTAGTCTGTCAAAGTCTGCACAGATGTGTCTCCAGAATGCTTTGCTTTCTCTACCATCTCTCCAGTCATAAACGCCTTTCTTCTGTTGTTCTCACGTAATAAATGCCTTTCTTTCGCTGATCCTATTATCAGGAATGTTTCCTCTGTGAGGACTCTTAGCTAGAAGTTCCGTGGTGGTACCTTTAATGGATAGATGATGTTTTCTTAGAGAGCTTAGCGATTTCTTGTCAGAGCCCGATGCTTATTTCTCAGATGGCGGTTCACTCTCACCCTGATTTTCAAAAAGCCTCTCCTTATATACCTTGGATCAAATATCAATTTTCTTATAATTGCATTAGTCCAAGGTTTTCAAAACCATCAGATTTAAATTCAATTGGCATTCAATCGCTAAGTGCTTGGTTTAAATTAATTGGATGATTCCAGCTTATTCCCAAAACATTAAAACAAGCCCAAGGTTTGCAGTCACATAGCCAATTAATACATGTTTCAATTTTTAGAACTGTCTGTAATCTGCAGCTGATTACAGACCCATTTTCTCTATAAATCTCTAAATTTAGAAGTACACTTTATCTCTTACAGACCACGCACTGGCTTTTTTTTTATAAACAAATTCTAGCTTCCTGCCTTCTAATTCACAATTACTCTACACATGTTTGTAACACTGATAATATTGATATTGGTAGTTGGACAGTTGATTTTTGTGATTTGTAGTTTTGCAGTTTTTGAAATTCTTTTGTGCTCTTTCTTTGACAGTGGTTAGGCATTTTCTGCTCAGAGTGAGATGAAGTATTTTTCCTTTCCTTGTATGCAGTACAGGGGTGTTTAATAGCTATGCCAAGCTGTGACCCTCACAGCACACCCTTTAACACACTAGGAACATCAGGCCACTACCACTCAAAGGGCATGACCACATAGAGACCAGATTTGAAGCTTGCTTTTAACCCATTTCTTGGTGTATCCCTAGAAGGATAAAATTAAAGACACGTCGCAGGAAATGGTGTCTTACTGAGAGAGAGGTGAATAGTCAGCGTTTTAGTGTATGTTCCTTTTTAATTTTTGTGTTTGGCATTTCCTTGACTCTATCCAGGTGCGACATTCTAGAGTTCCTCCTCAAACAACCATTGAATTTGCATCTGCAGTCATTTAGGCTCCATTAGTTCTCTTTTTAAAAAATACATCCGTGTTAAAAGTTTGATAGGTCCAAGGGTGTTCTGAGAATATGATCCATGCTCATGACAATATGTAAGAAAGTGGCAGTTTGAACATAATGTGCAGTTATCCACTTTGGTGGGAAAATAGACAAGCCAATTAGAGGCAACAGGCTGGGAAATGTATTCAGAGGTGTTTTGAATGTCCTCGAATGTGAATCACTGAGATCATCATTAGAAGATGGGCAGATGGCCTGTTCACCTTTATTATGAAGGAATTTGTATGTAAGAGTGAAAAAACTTACTGCAATTATGAACGATCTTGATGAGGCCACACTTGTAGTACTGTGTACAGTTATGTTCATCTTGCCTAAGGATTAACCTATATACCTTGAGGCAATGCAACAAGGGCTCACTGATTCCTGGGATAAGGAGATTGCTCTGAGAGGAGACTTTGAGTAGGTTAGGCCCATATTCTCTGGAGGTTAGAAGAATGAAACATAATCTCACTGAAGTACTTTTAAGTGGTTTGACAGGGTAGATCTGGCAGGATGTTCCATCAGCTGGGATGTGGAACGAGGGGTCTTGTCTCAGTATAATGGGTTGGACAGAGATAGAGAGAAATCTTTTCATTTAGAGTACTGTGAAGCTTTGACGCTGTCCACCCCAAAGAGCTGTGAATGCTCATTCATTCAGTATATTATATTAGTAGATATTTTCTAATCAGCTTGTTTTCAGCAATGTTATTACACATCTGGAGATGGTGCGACCAGAACCCAAGCCTCCTGGTTCAGAAGTGAAGACATTACCACTGCACCTCAACAACCTCTAGATTATTTGAGTTGGGAATATGGGGATCAAGTGGGCAAGTGTGACTGTGGTGAAAGATCAACCATGATGTTGAATGGCAAACTAGATTAAAGGGTTTCTTCCTGCTTCCGTATGTTGTATTTCTGCCCTCGGATCTCTGCATTCCTCCAATTCTAGCCTCTCGTGCGTCCCCAGTTTTCATTGCTCCACCAATGATTATTAATAAAATACTCATTGACTTCCTTTAATTGGCTTTAATTAGGCCATTAATCAAGCCACGTCAATTCCGTCCTCTGGGAAAAGCGTACGTGCTGGAAAGTGTTCTTGTGGAGCATTGGTAGTGCTCTGAGCCAGGAGGCCCAGCTTCAAATTCCATCTGCTCCAGAGGTGTGCAATAACATCTCTGATTAGGTTGATTAGGAAAAAAATCTACCAAGTTTCTATGTTTCAAAGGTGCAACCTTCAGAAAGATGTTTTTCAAATATGGGCTGGAACCTCTTCCATCCTGCCACTGCAAAAGTGACCAGCATATGGGATGGAATGCGATCTGACAGACCAGGGCTATTATTTTAGTTCGTGCCTACCTCCAATCCCTAAAGTGGTGGGTCTGGAGAATTGTACCCGTCAATTCCACTGCTCTGTCTCTGGCCTCCAAAATCTGGAGCTGGGCAGCTCATGAAATTTGACAATTTATTAAATAATGTAATCTGTAAGCTATAAAATTCTACTTTACCCAATCCTGGGCACTATTTACCCTTTACTGATCTGTGGTAGCTGGCCTTTATTTACCCATGTTTCTCCAAGACAGAATATATTTTGTATCTGCATATAGGCAGACGAAAATCGTAGTTGTTACTTAATAAAGCATAATGGATGATCTGTGAGATACAGTTACCATGGAGCTGAAAAAGAGCCCAAACCCATCCTTTATAAAATTATAATAGGCGGCACAACCAGATCAGCTGAAACCAGTCACTGAACAGAATGCTGAAAATGATTAAGATAACGAAAAGTGCAGACCATAATTCAATCTCTGACTGAGTCTTTGTGTCAGTGATAGTAAACGTATACTTCACCGCCATGATTTGCAGTAGTGAAGGAACTAATAGATTAAGAAGGAAGTGTAAATTAGAATGAGTGATTTGACATTAAATTCAGATGCACGAAAACAGGACGAATGAAAATTCTAAAAAAACAATGAACAGGTGACAGAACATGACTCCGTACTTGCAAAAATTAGGTTTTCAGTGCCACAGAGGTTGTTTGGGAGCAATTAACACTTGTCATAGTGTTAAAAATGTACTCAAGAGAGAATGTACAATGCTCAAGTTTCTGCAGTGAGCTTAGTTTATATCTACCACTCAAATACATGCCATGTCATTGGCTGTATGAAGCTACAACAAGGCGCCAAAACTTGTATGGTGACTTGAGTAACGATACAACAGCCTGATGCCTAAAGTTACTGCACTTTAGGCATCTTTGTACACAAATCACAGCAAGCATCAGTGGTCTCTCTCTAACTATGACTATTAGTTGTTCATTGGCTAGCTGGACGAGTAATCCAGAGGTCCCCAGTTTGGACAGTGCGGTGGCTCAGTGGTTAGCACTGCTACCTCACAGCGCCAGGGACCCAGGTTCAGTTCCATCCTTGGATGACTGTGTGGAGCTTGGATGTTCTCCCCGTGTCTGCATGGGTTTTTTCTGATGTTCTGGCTTCTTCCCACAGTCCAAAGATGTGCAGGTTAGGTGGATGGCCATGCTAAATTGCCCATATCGTCCAGGGATATGCAGGCTAGGTGGGTTAGCCAAGGGAAATGCAGGGCTAACAGGGATAGGCTAGGAGGTATGGGTCTGGGTGGGATGCTGTTCAGACGGTTGGTCTGGGCTTGATGGGCCGAATGGCTTGATTCCACAGGGATTCTATGAAAACTCTGGGGACACCCATATCTTACTGTGCGGGCTGGAGGAAATTAAATTCACTTGATAGATATGTCAGGTTCAAAAGCTTGTTAATGTAATGAAACGTTAATGTTTAAAGATCCAACCAGTTCACTAATGTGCCTTCCTTTTCCCTTACCCCAATCTGGCCTACATGTGACTCCAGACCCATAGCAATGTGATGCATTCTTAATTGCCTCTGAAATGGCCTGGCGTGTCCCTCTGTTCAAGAGTGATTAGAAATGTCAACAAATGCTGGTCTTGCCAGCGACCCTTTCGTCCTGTTTTTTTTTTAAAAATCTGCGACACAGTTGGGTAAACCAGAAAACCCTTGAAGGCTGATTTTCCTTTTTTACAACTTTTTAATAGAATTCCTTTCAATTTTTTTCTCCTCTGGACAGGTTAGAGTATGGGAAATTCCTAAATGTGGAGTCTTAAAAAACATAATTAACTCAAAGCTGGAACTTCAGGCTCACTCCAGGCGAGTTGGACTCATCGAGTGGCATCCAACAGCCAAGGATATTCTGTTCAGTGCTGGTTACGATTACAGGGTAAGTAAACCATTTCCCCAAAGACCAAATTCAGGTTATTTCCGGTTATTTCATCTGGGCTGTAATTCACAAACTGGAAGTGTAAAACTAATCCCTTTAAAAATTGTAAATTAAGTTTTATGTATGATAATTATCTGGCAATCGCACTGTAATAATGTTCCTTTAAGATACCGATAAATGCCTGCACTGTGTTGTCATTGCTTTTCACATCCTCTTTATTCCTGGTAGCTCAGTGTTTAGCCTCTCCCAATCATCTCTGTCGACATCTAAATCCATTGATAGTATTTTCTTAAATTTTTTTTTGTTTTTGGTGGCTGTCATTTGGCAGGCAAATGACCTCTTTCAGTTTAGTGGAATGATCTAAAGTATGTCTGCTGTTAAATTGGAAACATGAATAGTCATGAGACTTGGAGGGCAGACTGTGGACCTGCTGGCCTTTATTGTCCGTCATTTACAAATGTTCATACTTTTGGTGAGATTTTTCTCCTCAAAAAAGAAATTCTGCCAGTTACCAGTCTCTGTTAGCCTGAAATGAAGAAGAGATCAAAGTTTGATTGATTCACAAACATATTTTCTGTCCTGTTTTTATTTCTTGATGATTTAGACATTTCAAACTTAACTTGATTATTCCTTGTTCATATCAATATCTCACTCTCTCACTCTCTCGCACTCTCGCACTCTCTCTCACCCCCTCTCCCTCATTTCAGGGAATGTGTACTACGTTTTATGGATTGGACAGTAGAGGGAGAATTTGTGTGATGACAGCAGTAGCCATATAGTTTCCCGGTTTGACTCTGCCAGTGCATTCTCAAGATCAAGGAACTAGTATAGCCATGTGCATGAATGACCATTTTTCTATGCTGCAAATATCCTACTAATGTATTTGAACTCCCTTATTGACACTCAGTAGAAGGGGTGATGGTTGTTAAATACATTTCTTATCACATTTCTCTGTTGTTGCAGGTTATGATTTGGAACCTGAATTCGGGAGAGCAAGTGATTCATAATCCAGTGAAAATCTTGGACTGCCACAAAGATGTTGTTCTCGCCATGTCTTTCAACACAAATGGCAGTCGCATAGTGACTTCCTGCAAAGATAAGAAGATGCGAATCATTGATAGTCACACAGGAAAGGTTTTACAGGTAAACACAGAGAACAAGAATGCTTGTGATGAGGAATTGTTCTAACTAGCTTATCAATTAGAAGAAAAGGTAGCACCTCTCACATACTTAGGATGTCACCAAACACTTTACAGCCAAGAAATCATATTTCGAAATGTGCTCACTTTTTTTTTAAAGGCTGGAATGCAGTAGCTAACTTGCACCCAGCAAGTTCTTTCAAATAGTGATGTGATATTTTCATCAAGGTCCAGCAGTCTACCTACAGGTTTTGCCACATAGGTTACCTCCTCCAGTGGCCTCATCAGATTTTAAATAAAATGAATAAAATCTCTGTAATTTTTAGATGTTGATCCTTAATGCAGCAGCATTCAAAAGATTAGTATTTTCATTCTCCGAGATTTCAAGGCAATCTGTCAAGATGCTGCAGTAATCCCCACAATCTTATATGAACTTTATTTTCCAGTCCCTCCACAACCTTGCCTCTCTTTCCTGTTCGCCCTCTCCCCACCCCAAACCCCTCAAAATCTATGTATCCTCCTCCAGCTGATGACCCTCCAAGATTTCCAAACTTCCCCAATTCTGGCCTCTTGCCCATCCCCATTTTCATCACTGCAACATTGGTGACTATATCTTGAGTTGCCTGAGCCCTAACCTCTGGAATTCCCACTTCTTCTCTCTACCTGTCCTGCTTTCTTTAAGACATTCCACAAAACCTAGCTCTCTGACCAAACTTGCAGTCAGCTGTTGCAACATCACCTCATGTGGCTTGGTGTCGGAATGCTCTTCGATAATTGCTCCTAAAAAGTGCCGGAGGTGGGGAGTGTGTATTTTGTTCTGTTTAAGAGCCAAAATTGGAGAAACAGTGAGATTTTAGAGCATTATAGAGCAACTTGAGATTGCAGGCATATGGACAGACAATGTCATGAGGGTTTGAAAACAAAAATGAGTTTCAAACTCCTACTGTACAATATTATGAACAGTGTTAGGAATTGGAGCAGGAATAGATCATTTAGCTTGTACCTGCTCCACCACACATTACAACCTTGGCAGTTTTTGCTACAGCTATCTTACTTGCTTCTTTAAATATTAAAAGAGTGATATATGTGTGCACACCAAACTTGTTTTGCTGTACATATTTTATCCAGTCATTAAGATGTGAGTGACTCAGTGTGAAGTGCTGATAGTTCAGTGCACCTTTTATCACTTCTGAGTTCAAGTCTGGCTCTTGCTGTCTTCACCAAGTGGTATGCTTATACTTTGCAGGAATCCAATTCCAAGTCCCACAAGACCAATAAAGTTCTGTACCTTGGCAATTTGAAGATGGTGATATCCACTGGCTATTCCAAATGGAATAATCGACAAGTTACCCTCTGGGACGAGGTAAATAATGTTGGATGCTAGTTTAGAAATACCAAACATGTTAAAAGTCTTGTGGGGAAATCTTTTACACTTATAGTATGGCTACAGCACAGACAGAAGCCATTCAGCTCCTCATATCCATACCGACTGTCTGCAAGGGTGACCCAACTAGTCCCACTTCCATGCCCTTTCTTCATAACTTGCAAATTCTCTTCAGACATTCATCTAATTCGCTTTTCAAAGCCATAACTGAACATGCCCCTACCACACAATCTCAGGTTGTGCATTGTGGATCCTACCCATTTGTTACTTAATAAAAGCTTTTCATTGTGTTGCCAAGCACCCTATTGCTGTATCTGCTGGTTCTTGACTTATACCAATGGCAGTAGCTTTTCTCTATCTATTTTGTACAGAGTGATTCTGAATTCCTGTATCAAATCTCCTCTCAATTTCTCAACTAAGCTCCACAGCCCCCTCAACTGCAATAGGTCCATTAAACTAAAGTTCTTTAACCCTGCGACCTTCTCGTAAACCTTTCTTCCACTTTCTTTTATTGCCCATCTCTAGTTGCCCTTGAGAAGGTGGCTAACTGCCCTTTTGAATTATTGCAGTCCATGTATTGGCATGTATTCAGTATTGGCTATCAATGTAGTGTTTTCTTGTACATTTCCCTCTGTGCCTGCATAACATTTATCTGATCCCACTTAACAAGAAAGGTGTGTAAATCTTCCAAAATGCTGCTAAACAATTCCATGGATTGATAATTAACTTAAACCAACAATTAACATGATGGGGAAACTTAGGTAAAAGAATACATAACCAATTAAAAGTTTGCTTAAATTTGGTCTCTCGCATTACCTTAATTAAATGTTTTTAAAGCACATTAATCTTAGCCAATGAAATAGAAATAAATATTGCCACATTGCATCTTTTTCTACTAAATAAAAGTTTGGGGGACAGCTAATCAGTTAATTTGCCTGGTTTGAATTTAAGTGAAAGTTTGGCATTACTGTATTCTCCATGATCATGCCAATCAGAGTCCATTTGCCAACCAATTAGTACCCTTTTCTCATACAGTATAAATTGTTGATCCCATTCAGTTTCGGTACTCTTGTGATTCTGTCCTGAAGATTGCAGGATAGAAAAGCTTTCACAGTATGCAACATTTTTTCAGAAATACTCAAATGGATTAACTTCTGCATGTATAAAGGTTTATTAGCTCTTTAAAAAAAATGTTTCACATCCAAGTTACTTTTGCTGAATATTCACTGTTATGTTGGCAAAAACAACAGCCAGATGTTGCACAGCTAAGGTTCCACTAACCCGGAATGTGATTGACTTTCAGCTAATTTATTTTTTGTCATGTTTGTGCACAGGGAAATTGTTGGCAGCAGAAAAGTTTTGATCATCTCTTGTATAAGTGCCCTTGACCTCTGATTTATTTGAACCAGCAGGTGGGCACCACAGGTTAACATGTCTTGACTAAAATGCAACACCTCTAACCGAGGAAAAATTAGTCGATCTTAAATGAGAGAAATTTGTAAAATAGTTTCCTCTTCTCGGCCAGTCAAATTGCACTCAGCACCATGTTCCATCTTGTATAATAATTTTCAAGAAGATAATTTGTAGGATGTGGATGTCACTGATGCTTTACTGTCCCTGTTAAAAGTTGTGTACGTGGGTCTTGAACCATTGCAGTCAATCTGGTGTGCAAACACCCACAGTGCTACTAGGGATGGGCTTCCAGGATTTTGACTCCGTGACAGTGAAGGAGCGGTGATATAATTCCAAGTCAGGATGATGAGTAGCTTGGAGAGGAACTTACAGATGGTGGTATTCTGTGCATCTGCTGCCCTTGTCCTTTTAAGTGGTGGAGGTCATCGGTTTGGGAGTACTATCAAAGAAGGCTTGACAAATTGATGCACTTATTCATGAGCCTGATCAATCAGGATGCAGACAAACCCTGGAACAATGTCTTATTTTCATCTTGGCAGCTCCACAGCCTAGTGACTTGAAGCATGTCTGATTAGTATGAATAATCATTAGAGTATTTAAATATTCCAATAGCTTTCATACTGTTAAAAGTGGAGGAATCTTGGTGTTAAATTGTCACCATTGTTTTCTAAGGATTTTATCCTTGAAATTCCACGCCTGAAATATTTTTCTGGTATTGAAATTGCAGCAATAATGTGAAAATTATCAGACGTTCCTCTTTTCAATACTGGCTAAAGGAGTATCAGGAAGCAGGGAGACCACCTGCTCTGGGGTTTGTTTATAATTCACGGTTCACCGGCAAGGCCACCACGTATTGCCCCTCCCTGATGCTTTTGAGAAGCTAATAGTAGGCTGTCTTCCTGACCTACTGCTGTTCAGTATAGTGTTCACTCATAAGGGCAGAGTGGACCTCAGTTTAACTTATTAACTAAAGTGAAAGAAGGCAAAAAAAATAAGGTACTTCTATAGAAGAGCTTGCCGAAATAAATTGTAGGCAATAAACCTATGTTTTCCAGATTTACTCATGGTGTCACTGATTGAAATATAGATGGGACAATGCTGCCCCCTTTAGGCTGCACTGTAAACATGCTCAATTCCTTTCTTTATCACAAACCAGTTTCTGGTGGAAAATTCCACACCCTACATTTTTTAATCTCCCTTTGAAAGAAAATCTTAATTCATCTTGATATCCTCTCATGTGGATTGTTTCTGTCAGTCAATTTACCTTGTCTTCTTTTCCATTTTTCTGGTTCATAATTTCTTATTTTCCTGTGGCCTCTACCACCTAGAAGGTCAAGGGCAGCAGATTTATTGGAATACCACCACCTGCAAGTTTCCCTTCAAGCCACTCCCCGTCTCAGTAAGCCTGTTTATGGGAAGTTTTCATAGCTTCATAGACTCATACAGCGTAGAAAAGGCCCTTCAGCCCATCGAGTCTGCACCAACATTACTACTCCTAAAGGTGCACTAATTCCAATTTCCTGCTCTTGTCCCATAATCTTGAATGTTGTGGTATTTGAAGTACTCATCTAAATATTTTTTGAAGGTTGTAAGGTTTCCAGCCTCCACTACCTTCCCAGGCAGTGCATTCCAGATTCCCAATAGCCATTGAATGAAAAAGTTTTTTTGGTTTCTAAATCCTCTCTGAATGTCCTGTCCCCATCCCTAAACCTGTGACCTCTCATGATTTATCCCTCAATCAAGGGGAACAGCTGCTGTCTATTCACACTGTCCATACCCCTCAATCTTGTACATCTCAATCATGTCCCTCCCTCAGCCTTCTCTGCTCTAAAGAAAACAATCCAAGCCTATCTCATCTCTCCTTTTGGCTCAATTTCTCCATCCCAGGCAACATCCTGGTGAACCTCCCCTGTAATCCCTCTATAGTGTTATCACATCCTTCCTGTGGATAAGTGACCAGAACCGCACACGGTATTCCAGTTGTGGCCTGTTCAACTCTTGGTTCAACTCCAACATTGCCTCTTCGCTCATACTCTATGCCACAACTAATGAAAGCAAGTGTACCGTATGCCACTTTAACTATCTTGTTCACATGCTCTGCCAACTTCAGGGATCTGTGAATAATTACCCTAAGATCCCTCTGTTCTCTAAGCTATCCAGTGTGCTGCCATTCATTGCATACTCTATATCCTGCTGCTCCTTCCAAAGTGCATCACCTCAAACTTTTGTCAGCGGTTTTGATATTTAATACTGATCTAATACTATCTGTCACTGGTCTGCTCATCTGACCAACCCATCTATATTTTCCTGTAACCTACAATCGTCGTCTTTGTTATTAAGCAGTCTACCAATCTTGCTGTCATCTGCAAATTTGCTTAAAATCCCCCCACATTTTCATCTATATCATTTATGTATATAATAAACAATAACGGTCCCAGTACTGGTCTTTGTGGTACACTGCTGGGCATCTTAATCAGTTATCCTTTTTACGTTCGTAATTGTTTTTACTAAGTTCCACGTTTTTCTTTATGATTGGAGTGTGTCACTATCAAGCTTAGCATGGAATTCAATAGTATGATCTCTTTTTCTCATTGGAACTTTTGCTAAGAAATTACTAATTCACCCTGCTTCATTACACAATCATTGATAAAGGACAGCATTATCTTTAGCTGATTCCACAATATTATGCTCCAGAAAACTGATATGAAACCATTCTACCAATTCATCTTCTAAATTACTTATGCTAAATTGAATGGCCTACTTTATTTAAGGATAAAATTACAATATCTTCAGAATTACCATAATGCAGTTGTTACCAGTTCCAATAATTTCTTGTTTATTGATCTGCCCAACGGTATAACTCCTGTTAAGGTCCATAAACTGCTCATACCTTTGTCTGCCTGACTCTTTCAATTTGTGTGGAAATTACAAATAGTTTCTAGTTCATGATCTTTTGAGGCCAGATCCTTTTCCACAAATTACTTTTTATTTTGTCTTTTACTAATGGGGCTACCTCTCTCTTTTGTCATTTGTCTGCTTTTCTGAAATGGATGTTGCAAGGAACATTTATTTCCCAACCTTGAGATCACCTTGTAACCATGTCTCTGTGATGGTAATTAGTTCAAATAATTTACCTCCTTTTTTTTTCTTTATTCTTCCATGTAGGAAATGGACATCACTGGCAAGGACAGAATTTGTTGCCCTCAAATGATTAATTCCCCTCAAATGACTAAATGATATGATCTCGCTTACCAGAGGGCAATTAAGAATCAACCACACTGCTGAGAGTCTAGGGTCACATGTAGGCCAGAATAGGCAAGGATGGTAGACTTCCTCCGCTAAAGGAAATTAGTGAATCAGATGAGTTTTTACAAGAACTCATGATAGCTGTCATGGACACCAATACTGAGAGTATGTTTACATTCCAGATTCTTATTAATTGATCATCATTGATTGTAGAACCAGGAGAGGAGTAACTGTGTAAGGAGATCAGAATAAGAAGTGCAAAAGTTTCAAATTGGACATACCAGGTGTTATACAAATACAGCAGGACAAACAAGGCTGGCAATTTTCAGTTCAATGCATCAACATTAGGGAACCATTGGAAATCATTCTGGTGGCCTGGAATAATACAATGGATTATATATATTCAATTGCCACAACTGCAATTTCTTAATTTAACTTCAGTTAGGTTGAACTTAAAAAAAATCATAAAAGCAAGTGACTATAAAGCTATTGGATTGCCAATAGGTTCACTGTTCCTTGGTTTCACAGGACACCTGCCACTTTAATCCAGTTTGTCTGCTATCTAACTCCAGGCCCACAACAATGTGACTAACTCTCAGCCGTCCTCTGGAATGATCAATTAAGCCACTCAATCATATCAAACCACTACAAATAAAAGGAATAAAACTGAACTGACCTAGACATTAGATTTAAATCAAAAATCAGTAGACCCTGCAAAGTCTATAACTGCATAACAGGTATTAATCTGTTGAATGAAGTTGTACCACTTACTATGTTTCAGTCCAAGAAATGTCCTCTTCACCACAACTTTTGTGGTCTACTGTTCAACCACTAATATAAAATTGGGCAATTTTTATTAGTTCCTGTTTTTTTTTAAAGCAACAAGTTAGTTTAAAAAATAACTATTTCTTGGCAATATGCCTCAAGTACACTGAGGTAACTTGTTAAAAAATAATGGAGATCTTTACCACCTGGAGGGACATGGGCAACAAAGAAATCTTTGCCTTTCTTTCACATGTTCACTTTCAATTTCATCATGCATATTACTTCAGTGAGTTCTGTAGGATTAGTACGACATGACTAATGTAGGTATTGTGTTTTTTTGGTGACCTGAAGTAAAACTAACAGGTCTGTGATATGCAGGAATTTATGCCACAGTATTTATGTGCCCGGTGAAGTTAAATTCTGGTCAATGGTAATACCAGGCTCTTGATAGTAAGGGATTCAGCAGTAATAGTATCCCTTTGAAAGGGATCCATGGGAACTTAAGAATCTGACTGAGGAACTGACACAGCCTTGTTTTACGTCTCCTCTGACAGATGCACTGCAGAAAGAGCAGTATTCCTTCAGCATCGCTACTGGGCTTGTCAGCCTCGATGTTTGAGTCCTGGATGGTGTTACCAGCTGACAACTGTAATCATTGATAACCTACTTTTGAAGTGATTGAGTCAGCTGACTTTTTCTCCCCTTTGCATTAATAAGCACTCTTTCTTATTAATAATTCAGGACGACCTTTCTGTACCTTTGCGAGAGGAGGATCTGGACGGATCCTTGGGAGTGCTTTTTCCATTCTATGACCCTGACACGTACATGCTGTACTTGGCAGGAAAGGTAAGATCTCTGGCCTCACGTTACAGACGAGCTTTCAGGTATAACACAGTGTGGAGCTGGAGGAGCAGGAAAGTTGATGTTTCGGGTCAGGACCCTTCTTCAGAAAAATGCTTTCAGGTATGTTCTTGCCATATCAATGCAGGACAGTTTCATTAACTGGTAAGTAAACAGGTGACATGGACTCTTATCCCATTGAAATAGAGATAATGGGACTTCTGGAATATGCAAATGGCCCTCTCCACCAAATTATTAACTTGGCCATAAAGATGATAATGATCCCATACTATTATTATGTTCAGTGTGAAAGTGAACTCCACTCAGAATGACAACAACCTGTTTGCTTCCACTGTAAATGCTCATCTTCAAATAATCCATTCCACCTTGGCCAGGTTTTTAATGAAGACTGCTAATTGCCATGAGTTTATTGAGCGAACACTGGAGGTAAGGTTGAAGCCAATGACAATAAAAATCAAGAGAGGTGCTCAATCTCAAAACTGGCATTTTTTTTATTGTTGGATAAGGGCATTGAGGTTATGACTATTAAGGTGAGTAAATGGGGTTAGGGTACAGATCAGCCATGATCTAAATGATTGGGGGTGGAGCAGCCTCAAGGGGCTGAATGGCCGCCTTATGCTCTAGTATTGCACTGTTGCTAATGGGGATGGGCTGATGCGATATTGCACCATTTACCGCATTGCTCTGTGTCAAAATACACCCACCAACTGAATTTTTAAGTTAAGATTATTTCTAGATTGTTCACTCCCTTCTCATTCCTCCTCCTTCTTTCCTCTTAGATGGTTTGCAACTAATATACATTTTACAGCATCCACATATTTTGGCTGGCGGTGACGTTATGTCTGTTTGAATCATGACAAATGTGAGAAGAATTGATGACTGATTTTCTCTAACCTGTGTGATAGCTAATTAAACATTGCAAAGTATGTTAGTAATTTTCTCAGAATAGGCAGCAGAGTTAGATCCAATAGATTGTGGCATTGTCCCAATGGTAGCCTCGGTGTAAAAGGTGGTTATGTAAGAACACAGGGAGAAGAGGAGGAAGGTTATACAGGCCCTCGAGCCTTTTCGCTACGCAGCAAGACATAGTTATATAGTTATTTTGTGACCAAACCCCACCTTTGCCCCAGATCACTTAATTTTTTTTGTCAGTATTATCCATCCTGAGGTCAAAATTAACAATTGACTCAACGTTTACTGGCCTGTTGTGGCAGAGAGTTCCAAACTGCCACCATTTTGAGTGGAGAAATCTTTCCTCTGTTCACTGCGACAACCCTGAGATGCAGGTATTCCCAGACCAATGACTGGTTTATTTCCAGAATTGTTTATTTCTCTCACTTCCGATCCTGCGCTGTCCTTTTAAATTCCTCCCAAGCCTCTTTGTCCAATTCTATTCTACTGCTTACTCCCTATATCCTTTGAATGTACGGAAGTGATGGGTAGCAGGAGACTTGCTTGTCTATCAAGTCTGTCTCGCACCATCCCCACCTCTGAAATATGTTTCTTCTAACCTCTTTCTACCCTCCGAGCCTGATCTCATCTGGGAGAGCAGATGGGACAGGATATGGAGTGTTCTTGGTTTAATTTTATTAAAATATATAAGACAGCACTTCTGACAGTGTGGAGCTGGATGGTCTGCTTGATCTAGGTTTGAACCCACACCTGACCACAAGAGTAGTAACTCTGTGCAAGACTGACCCTTTGATCTGATGCATTTGTACATCATACTTTAAGGGAGCAATTATTCTAACACTCTGAGATTACAGTCTGTTAGAGAACACTTTGTATATTCAAGGTTGCAACAGTGACCCTACCCCAATGTTGCCTATTTTCATTCTTGTATATTTCTAGGGTGAAGGAAACATCAGATACTACGAATTGAGCTCAGAGAAACCTTATCTACATTTCTTGATGGATTTTCGCTCTTCATTACCTCAGAAAGGAATGGGTATGTATGTTTGGCCTGAAAATTTATTTAAAGTGGTAAAAGTGTTATTTTTGATTTTAAAAAAAATAGAAATCAGCAGCATTTATGACTGAGATGTAGTTACCAATGTCCAGTGAGTGGACAATGCTGATAATTGGCTAGTTAGGAAAAATAGCTTCCGTTGCTGGACGGATAAAGACCTGAGGGTCATAGGTTCAATATAATTGGCCAAAGAAGAAGTGAACGAGGAGAAACATTTTAATGCAGTGAGTGTTTAGGATCTTGAGTGGGTTGGATGTTGACTCAATCAAATCATTTAGGAGGGAATTGGATTAATACTGGGGAAGGAAAACTTTCCAGGGCCAAGGGAGGGATAAGGTCAGGAAATGGCACTAGGCAATTGCTCCTTTGGTGAACCGGCATAGACAGAATGAACTAAATGGCCTCATTCTGTGATGTAATCATTCCATGATTGTAAAGATATTACTACAGGTCCTTTTAGTAACATTTGAAGAAATATATTGCCCTTCAGTGTATTATTTCTTTTGAGTAGGCACTGTTGAGGATAATAAGGTGATACAGCAAGGGAGGTGGTCATTTGGAAAAAACAGCCCATCAGCTCTTTGACCTATCCAAACCCCTGCGCGTTGTGCTTTTTGAAGCACAAATGCGAAAAAGGATCCTTCTCTTCCACCACCACACACAACCCTCCCTCACCACCAGAAATACACACAGACCTCTCATAACCCACACACACCTCACACACACACTTCAAGACACACGCCCACCCTACCCTCCCTCACCACGACTACCACATACATACACACAGCCCATATGCACCACACACACACAAACACACAGACCCCATGTAGACAAACCACACAAAGACCATAAAATCTCACACCCTCTTCCACCATGTCTGTCTGTCTCTCTCTCTCTCTTTCTCTTTCTCTTTCTCTCTCTCTCTCATTCACATACACATACATACATACATACATACACACACAATACCACCACCACCATTGAGTGCACACCACACGCACACCATCCCACCACCACCATTGAGCACACATCACACATGCACACCACACGGGTACACGCCACTTACACGCACATGTCACTGCTGCAAAAAGCACATCCCCAGTCTCTTCAAGTAACTGCAGTCCCTCATCCCAGATGCTATTTTGATACGTTCCCTCTATACATTCCCCAGGCCTAGGCAATCTGGGAATACATGAATCAGTCATGGGCCCTGGTTGGACTTTAGCTGTTGTCTGAATGGCCTCCTATCACACTGGACTTTATCACACAATGGGCTCGAATGATAGCAAATTCCAGTATTTAAGCATGAACAATTTTATTTTTTTCAGAAATGAATCCATCGTGTGTGCGTGGTACAGTCAAAAGAAAGATAATCTGTGGCCTGAATAGGTTGATATTTTAGAAAGTACACGTTTTCTTGTCATTCCTCTGTGATTGCAATTCCACCCTGCCCCTTATAATGCTGCCTTTCTCCTCCATCTTGCCAAAAGTGCTCATTGTTTCTGTTAAATTACCAATAATGAGGCTGGAATTTAAAATTTGTTCGCAAATTCAAAAGAGAAATTAAAAGGATTTCGCTAAACCAGTCCAAACTTCTCAAGGGCTTTTTTCCCTTCCTTCTAATACCTTTGTAGCAAAACAGAAAACGTACCTAAATCTACAACGTGCATTTTTTTCTATCTTGCCTTTAACACAATAAAATGTCCTGTTGAACTTTGCGTGAGTGCTAACAAGCAAAATTTGACTTTGATCTGCATGGGGAGATAGTAGAACAGGCAACCAAGAGGTTATTCAAAGAGGTCAGTTGTAAGGAGCCTCTTAAAGAAGCAAGGAGAGATGGAGAAGTGAGGGAGGGTTGAGGGAGGATATTAGGGAGGTTAGGACTCAAGCAGCAAATGGAATTAGTGAAGATCGAAGCCGGAGTTGATCTTGGAGGAATGTCAGGCTGAAGTTTGCTGTGTTTCCAACCAGGGAACCAGTGAAGGTCAGCAATCACAGCAGTGAGGGCCAAACCAGGGCTTTGGTGTGAGTTGGCATACAGTGCCTTGGAGTTTGAGTTTATGGAATCTATAAGATGGGAAGCCATCTCAGATGATCTTTGAAACAGTCCGATTAGTTGTAAAAGAGGCAAAGCTGAGAATTTCAGAAATAAATCAGTGGAAACTGGTGCAGACACTGGTAATTTGACTTGATTACAGCATTGTGTTGTTATTTTATGTCTGATTTATGCAGAGTTGATGCGCATCTGAGTGTGCACCAGGTTTCATTCACCGCAGTTTAAAATTCTTCACCTCCAGCTTCCCACTCTTTTACTTTGCTGAGTTCATACGCAGTCTCAACCAATCAAATATAATGAGTCTCAGTAGCAAACAGACCCTGCTAATCAAACCCAGAACCATTGAACACTACACATTGAATGGATCTGAGCAACTTGTCAGCCAACTACTTATTGACAAAGTATAACCACTTCTCCATCTTCTTTGGATGGAGAGAGACTGGCAACAGAAAGCTGCAGTATTGGATGTGAAAGTACTGAGTATAATTTTTACATTAATTTTAATTTGCAGGTGTAATGCCAAAGAGGGGCCTGGATGTCTCGATCTGTGAAGTCTTCAGGTTCTACAAATTGGTGACAACGAAGAGCCTTATCGAGCCCGTCTCAATGATTGTACCTCGACGGGTAAGAGAAGCATAGAATTACAGAGAATTTTACAGCACGCAAACAGGCCATTCAGCCCAACTGGTCGATGCTGGTCTTAATGCTGCTATGAGCCTCTGCCACGTCTTTGAGCGTATCCTTCTCTTTCTTTCTTCCAAAGTGCTTCGCAGGAATGTTATCAAGTACTGAGCCGTGTAAAGGAATCTTAGGCCAGGTGATTAAAAGCGCGGTCTAAAAGAGGGGCCTGGACTTTGAGGAATGGCGATCAGCCAGAGATTACTATCCCACTCTTCCTCTTACATTTAAGAAGGAGTTCTATATTTCTGTCTAGAAATTCTGATCTGGTTTCCTTCATAGATGCAAAGCCATACTTTTAGATCTGATAGGTACCTCACTGTGCAGGATATTTGTTCATAGCAGTCAGTTGCAGTATTCTGTGATTTAAGGATCCAGAATCACAGACAGTCACTTTGACAACTCTTGTGGAAAGGTAAGTTTGTGAGGTCAGTGTAAGGGTAGGGTGCCTGGACACAAGTGGCAACGGAGTCAAGTAAGTGTTTAGGGTAGTTCAGAGTCCGCTCGACCTAGCTGGTTAAAGTGGTGTTGAGTCCTAGGACTCCATGTTGAGTGGAGTTGTGTGGCTTTGGCTGTTTGGTTTTAGTGGAGGGAGGAGTCTCTGATCCAGCAGTGGGGCATGTTGGATCTCAGGGGTGGTGGTGGGTCAGGGTCTGGGATTTGTAAGGGGTCCGGGGGAAATGTAGTGGAGGAGGATAAGTTGGTGGGTCAGTTTAACTGCTACTCAGGAATTAGACCAGCTATTTAACTTCTCCTGAGTACCTATTTAACTGCAGTGCAGCCCTCTGAACTTTTGGAGGGTTTCAGGCATAAGAGAATTACCCAGCGGAATCGTCAATTTGAGTCATAGAGTCATATGGCACGGAAACAGACCCTTTGGTCCAACTCGTCCATGCTGACCAGGTTTCCTAAACTGAACTATTCCCATTTGCCTCAGTTTGGCCCATATCGCTCTAAACCTTTCCCATGCATGTACCTGCTCAAATGTCTTTTAAATGTACCCGCCTCTACCACTTCCTCTGGCAGCTCATTCCCCACACGCACCACTGTCTGCATGAAAATGTTGCTCCTCAGGTTTTTTTTTTTTCAAATCTTTCCCCTCTCACCTTCAACCTATATCCTCTAGTTTTGGACTCCCCTACCCTGGGGAAAGACCTTGGCTATTCACCTTATCTATGCCCCTCATGATTTTATAAACTTCAATAAGATCACCCCTCGGCCTTTTATGTTCCAGCAAAAACCTCCCAGCCTATGCAGCCTCTCCTTATAGCTGAAACCCTCCGATCCCTGTAACATCCTTGTAAATCTTTTTTGCAGCGTTTCCAGTTTAATAGCGTCCTTTCTATAGCAGGGCAACCAGAATTGTACACAGTGTTCCAAAAGAGGCCTCAACAACATCTTGTACAGCTGTAACATGACGCTCCCAAGTCCTATAGCCAATGCTCTGACCTTTTCCTGGGTAACTATTATGCTTGACTGAGAGAACCCTGTGAACTGAGGAGAGGTCAGCTTTCTTGGAGAGGTCCAGATCCGGTGGGGGGGGCAGGTGTGGTGAAGTGAAGTTTGGGGGTTTTTGGGGGTGGGGATGTCATTGGAATGTTACCACAAAATCAACTGCATCAGGGATTACCCATGGTCCCAACAAACAGCCCCAGTCTGTGCGACTCCGACAACTGTCTGGCCACCGAAATGTCAGGGCCGACACTCCAGCTGTGTCCGAAATCAATGTTTGATGCAGGTTCATCACAGAGAAATTATTGTTTTGACTGGTTTTCTGCCTCTCCCAGGAGATAATGTGGGGCAGTTCACTAATGGGGTGAAGAATGATGAGTGTCAAGATGTTTAGTTGCACCAAGACTTCCACCTGATACTATGTTTGTGTGGTTTCTCAGGACTTTCGGTTTCAGTCTTTTCAAACTCTACTTCCCGTACCTCGCTTCATCCGCAGTTAGACTGTGCTCAGCTGTTTCTCAGCTCGGAGTTAGAACTCTACGTCTTACCAATGTGCAGAGAGCTCATCAGAACTGAGACTTTCTATAATCAATACACCATCAGATTGGCACCGTCAACAGAAATATTGCCAGGGCTGGTCCCTCCAGGCTGTGGTTCTGAAATTCCCTGTGTTCAGATATCGGGGCTGGGCTGACAGATTTCCTCCATGGTTGAAAGACCTGCCAAAGTGTACTCCCTCAGGTCTAAAGGCAGCCATGTTAACTGCATGCAGGCTGTACTTCACTAAGTTAGCCCAGACCTAGGTGAGGAAGTGAGGAAACAGGCAGAAATGTAGCAACTTAATGATCTGTTCAGATGGTGGCATATTGGAAATATCACTGGACTCTTAATCCAAAGACCCCAGCTAATGCTCCAGAGTCAGTGGTTCAAGTCCCATTTTAGCAGCTTGCTCTGTTCTTTACCTAAATGTAAGACTAACTTAAGTAGCTGTGACCACAAAACTATCATCAGTTGCTATTAAAAAAAATCTCATTCGTTCATGTCCCTCAAGGAAGGGAATCTGTCTCTGTTCACCCTCATCCCCTGCACATTGTCCAATCCAACCAATATCCCATTCTCATCCATTCCCTCCCACTCAATCCCACCTCCCCCAATTGAATAGAACAATGCAGCTCAGAAGGAGGTTGTTCAGCCTATTTAGACTGTCCCTATTTTTTCCAAGAAGTCAATCCTACCACCTTCACCCACCCCCATCCCAAACTCCACCTTTGCTTTCCCTCTTTTCTCTCCCTTGTATTTATCATTTTCCTCTTTAACATTAACTTGAATCTGTCATCACCACAATATCAGGAAGTGAGTGCATTCCATATCCTAACTGCTGTTTGTATGTAAGATTTTTTCCTCATGTTACCTCTGGTTCTTTTACCAATCAACTTACAAAGTTAAACCTGGGCCACCTGATTGTTCAGCCATTGAAAACCGCTTCTATTTATTCTATCACAGAGCTCAAGAACAACAGTAGTCATTCATCCCAACAAACCACCTCTGCCATGGCTGATTGAACACTTCAATATCTTTCACCCACACAATCCCCATAACCCTTTGTCATTCGTAATCAGAAATCTACCGATCTCTATTGTTAAATAATTTCATATCCCTCCATCAAATCCGCTCGGATTCCTTGACAGTAAGGTGAACAGCCGCAGCTTGTCTGTAATCACCCATCCTTGGAGTCAATACAGTAATCTCTTCTGAAGTCTCCATAAAGCCTTCTCATTTTTCTGGTGTCCAGATATCTAAGCCACAGTGGGGTTGAACTGTTTTATCAAAACATTTTTCACTTTTGTAGTCCATCTCTGTACTTAAAAATCTCAGTTTTCTGTGTCATACACTTTATAACCTCGGCTTGTCAGACAATTGCACACACACTGGTTGATTTTGCTATGTAAGTAGCTCCACTCATTTGAGCCTGGCCCTGAATCAAAGTTACATTTTCAAAGACTACTTTTATGATTTTGAGGGACTACTTTTTCATTCTCTCAAACTCAAATATTTGTTAGTTGATGCAGTCAAGTAGAAACACTACCTTCAGTATTTGTTTTACACATGCTCTTACAGCATTACACTTACAGAAGCAGAATTTGAAGGATTCGTCAATATATTCCATTATGAACACTCCATTAAACATTAGCCACAATACACCAGGAAAGCATTAATTTACAACATAACATAACATACACTACGTAAACTAGCACAGTTCAACAGGCATAATTTAGCATTTAAAAATCTTTTTCAAAATAACTATCTGATGCTTCTGCACAAGAAAAAGTACACCTTGCACAGACCTCATCAGTGTTTCCATCATTTATGCGTAAAGCTAGAACATTTTAACCAGGCAGTTACTAGCCTTTTTGCTATGTTGTTCACCTTGATCACAGATGTAAATGTACCAATTTATACATTGTTCATCTTCATAGCATTCACTACATTTTTCCAACATAGGAACTCCTGTACATATTCTTAAGCTAGAAACTCCACACTGATTGGCAAGGAATCAATTCCCTCATAGACGTCAAGTTTCACTAGCTCCCAGTTAGTTTAGTGTTCTGCTTTTGCTAGGTTTGAAACTGCTCTGTCTCCTTTGTAGCTTCTCCTCTCCCTCCTCGTTATACTCTTCTCTTTTGCATCCTTTACAGCACACAGCCCCCTTCAACTCACTCTCAGCAGTAGGAGGCACTGCTGGGACACAATTGAGAGTAATCTCTGGATCTGTCTCCCAGAATCCTGCTATGCCCTGGCTCACAGGGGCAATCTTCCGAGGCCTAAAAAGTAAACCCAGTGACTTGCCCACCACAGCCACTTACCTTCCCAGCTGCTCCTCCATCATAGGTTGGTTCTCTCCAGTATTTCCTGCTGATTGGCTTATTCTTGAACGAGCCTGCAGGGCTGCAGTGAACAGCACTGGGTGCACTGTCCTCTCCCACGCCCTGGGTGAAGGCTAGCAGATGGGGAATTAGAGATTTGGATAAGCTCAGTTCTATGGCACGTGGAAAGTGGGACACCGTAGCAGGTAAAATTGGACCTGAAAAGTCTTCTAAAAAAGCCAGAAATTTCATGAGAATTGTTACAATCGACAAAGGATACTGATGCACATGCAGCCTATGGAGTCACTCTATAATTCCTTTGTATCTTGCAGTCTGAATCGTACCAGGATGATATCTATCCAATGACAGCTGGAGCACAGCCAGCAATGACTGCACAAGAATGGCTCAGTGGAGCCAATAAAGGTCAGACTCAAACATGTTTTACTTGGCTAAACCTTCTGAAAAACAATAATTTAACTGCTGTCATCATTGTTGTCATTATAGCGCATGCATTTTATGGTCTAGGCCAAGACTGCCCTTTTAGGGCACATGATATTAATGATTGTAAAAGACTATCGACATGGTGTGAGAGGTTGACAATATGAACAGCTTAATCATTCTTCCGAAATTTACCTTTCACTTGGTTAACTCTGAACCTTATTGACATAGTGCAATGGTGCACCTTCTTCTCGCCTTCCTTGCTGCCAGGATTGTGGTGTTGTACCATGTTGTTGGTCACCTGTGTTTTGTTGTGAAGGTATGGCTTGGCCTTTGGTACTAGACTTTCTGCACGTGCCCCACGTTCCTTGGTGCCACCTGCTTTACATAGAAAAACTGGATAGCTTTTGGTAGGCACAAGCAATCACATTAGTTACAGATCCTGTAGGTTTGATGCAATTGGTGACCACACCAATAGTGTTGATAGCACAAAAAACATCTAACTGTTATTGGCTTGCTGCTATCGTTTCATACTTGTGCCCTTCCTCAAATCATGCGTCAATGGTATGGCTTTTTCCTTAGCCCAAAGATCCTTCCTAAAAGCCATAAATCTCCCACCACCACCACACCATTCAAGATTCCCCGGTCAACGTCTTCATTTTCTAGATTATCTCTAAACTCCGGGGTCTCAGTTCTATTTAGTCTGTCAATCATCCACTTTGTGCTGTGCAGGAAAAGGTAGTGTTCTGTACCATGTCACTTATTAGAAAACTCAACATTTGTTCAACACACAATCTGTTTGTAGGTGATTACAGAATGTATTTGGATGATAAACTGGGAATGAGTTGCATTTTTTTTAAATTTCCCTTCAGAAAGGGATAAACTTGATTCCTGTAATATCATTTTTAAAATGATTAATCCTGGTTTATTCACGACAGATTAGTACTTGACTCATTAGCAATAGAATAGGGTATTGTTCATGGGATTGGATGACACATCGGTAGAGTGCTGGGAGTCTCAATGAGCAGATTGCAATATGTGTTGCAGTTATGATTGATATTCAGTAGAAGGTTCTGTTCAAGACAAGTTTCATGCACTGATTTAATGATCAACAAAGTAGAGGCCGGAGTGGCTGGTGGCAAATATTCAGGCACAAAAAATACTTCATTCTCCATTCAAAATAGTTAACATTGTGGTTGAAAATTAAGAATATATTTTCCCTGTCTTGTAAATCTAAGAAAATGAAGATAGTACTGGAAGCAATAGAACTAGGAAAGGGCTGTTTTGCACATATGGCTAAACGGGGATGTTATCTCTGGCTTTTCTCCTTGTATATTTATCAACCTTTTCCCCCCTTAATGCATCTGTGCTATTCCCCTCAAATAGTCAGCAGCCTTCATAATAAATATGGTTAACTATCTGAGACACAGGGCTTTGGCTATCGTTGTAATATGCTAAAGACTGTGAACAGATGATTGCAAGTAATTATACTGCTGCAGACTCTCTCACTCCTGGACATGTTGACATCAGTCAGGCACGTCCCCAATCTCTGAGCTGATTGCTGATGCATTTTCTGGCCTCCCTCGGCTCAGTTAGCTGACATGGTTATAGCTTGGCATCTTCATCTCTATGACTTTGGAAAATGGGAGAGTAAAGGGAGATGGTGACATTGTCGTGTTGCCACTGACTGGTAATCTAGAGATCTTGGCTCAGGCTTGGAGGGCAGGGCATTAGTTAAATTTAATGTGAATAATTTCTAAATGTGCAATATAAAGCTAGTTGCATTAATTGTAACAATGACAGCTATTACTGATATTTTTAAAAAAAACTGATCTGCTTTACAAAAGCCCTTCAGAGAGGGAGATCTGCCGCATTTACCTGGTCTGCCCTCCTTGTGACTCCAGACCCAGAACAATGTGGTTGACTCCTAACTGCCCTAACAAGTCACTTAGTTCAAGAGCAATTAACATGGAGGAAAAATGGCACCCAGATCTCATGAAAGAATAAAGAAAAAAGTTCCTTTTAAATAAACTCCCAATTCCTGAATATCCCTGATTATTGTATCAGAGATAGTAGGAACTGCACATGCTGGAGAATCTGAGATAACAAGGTGCAGAGCTGGATGAACACAGCAGGCCAAGCAGCATCATAGGAGCAGGAAGGCTGACGTTTCGGGCCCAGACCCTTCATCAGAAAAATTTTTCTGATGAAGGGTCTGGGCCCGAAACGTCAGCCTTCCTGCTCCTATGATGCTGCTTGGCCTGCTGTGTTCATCCAGCTCTGCACCTTGTTATCCCTGATTATTGTTTGATTATGTTTACACCTTCTGAGGCAGAAAGTAGGTTCAAGTCCCATTCCAAAACTTGAGCACAACAGTTTAACCTGGCATACCAGTCCAGTACTGAGGGAATCCTGCATCATCGGAGTAGCTAACTTCCAGATGAGTTGTTAAACCAAGGCTCCAATGGATGTAAAAGATTCAATGTGACTATTTACATGGGAACTATTCCTGAGTTCTTATCAATGTTTATCCATCACTCAATACCTTTTTTTAAAAAAACCCAAAGAACTGTAGATGCTAGAAATTTAGAAGCAAAAACAGAAATTGATGGAAAAACTCTCTTGCTGCCAAACCTATAAACAAAGTAAGATTGTCTATTCATTATTACATTGTGGAAGCTTGCTGAGTACGAACTGGCTGTCACATTTTTTCTACATTGTAACAGAATGAAAGGACATTGATAGGAAAGTAGCTATGAGCAGTAATTATTGCAGGAAAATATGGGAGTGTTCAATTGTGATTGTGTTTGGTATCTGTTACCTTTGTGCTTTATTAAGGATGAGAATGGACTGGTTAAACTGAGGTAAGCTGCTGTAAGTGTGACGGAGAACATTCTTCTTAATTGAAAAGAAATTCTTTGAAAAAAGACAAACTGATCATATCTACTTAAGTCCAAGGCATAAAACACAACAAGCAGATGTTATGTTTTAGTGATGTTTGCTGACTGTTTTGACCACTGGCCCAGGAATCTATGGAAACCTCTCTTTTACTGTTTTGCAATAGTGTAAAGGAATGTGGTATGGCCCATATAGGAGCTCTTCATGCTTTGTCAAGCACTTTGTTTAGGCTTGTTCATGTCTTTAAGGTTAAGAGAAACAGGTGTGGTGCCTTTGAGCACGAATGAATCAATGGCAGCTTGTCACCTGGTTGAAACAACAATCTGTTTAGGTTCCTCTGCGCAGGTTCAAATGCTGATTGACTATGTTTTCCTCTCGGGAGCCAATGACCCACAAAGTGAGCTGCATTGTGGGAATTCCCTGTGTGCCCTTCTGGCTGGCAAGGAAGAGTTTTTTTGTACAGGCTGCTATTGCACACCATTCACTTTGCCTTCTCTATTCACCGCCTGGATACAGCTTGACATGTTTTCTTACTGTCAGGTGTTGGGGGTCTGCAGTGGAGAGCTCTCTATGAGGGAGTCTTTTCACTTTCCATTGGGGGCCTGGGCTGAAGGATGTTGTGCGCAGCAGTCCCATATGAGGAAGTGATGGCCTAGTGATATTATCGCAAGACTATTAATCCAGAAACTCAGCTCATTTTTCTGGGGATCCAGGTTTGAATCCTGCCATGGCAATGATGGAGTTTGAAGTCAACAAAAAAAATTGACCATGAAACCATTGTTGATTGTCTGGAAAATTCCATCTGGTTCACTAATGTCCTTCAGGGAAGGAAATCTACCATCCTCACCTTGTCTGTCCTACATGCGAGTCCAGACCCACAGCAATATGGTTGACTTTCATTTACCCTCTGAAATGGCCTAGCAAGCCATTCAGTTTTACCAATTGCTACAAAGTCTCACAGAAATGAAACTGGGCGGATCACCTGGCATCAACCCTGGCACCGGAAAAGACAACGGCAGAAACAGCCCTGTCGACCCTGCAAAGTCGTTCTCACTAACATCTGGGGATTAGTGCCAAAATTGGGAGAGCTGTCTCACGGACTCATCAAGCAACAGCATGACATTGTCTGTAAGGTATGATTCTGAGAGTATGACTATGTCCCAGATACCACCATCACCATTCTCGCATATGTCCTGTCCCACTGGCAAGAAAGGCCCTGCAGAGCTGGCAGCACAGTGGCATACAGTCGGGAGGGAGTTGCCCTGGGAGCCTTCAACATTGACTGCAGGTCCATGAAGCCTCATGGCTTCAGGTTAAACATGGGCAAGGAAACCTCCTGCTGATCACTACGTACCATCCTCCCTGGACTGATAAATCGATGTTCCTTTGTGTTGATCCACATATGGAGAAGCACTGAGGATGGCAAGGACACAGAATGTTCTCTGGGGGAATTCGATGTCCACTATCAAGAGTGGCTCAGCAGCAGTACTACTGATCGAGCTGGTCGGGTCCTACAGGACATAGCTGCTAGACTGGGTCTGCAGCAGGTGGTGAGGGAACAAACAAGAGGGAAGAGCATACTTGACCTCATCCTTATCTAATCTGCCAGCTGCAGTTGCATCTGTCCATGACAGTATCGGTAAGAGTGACCATCGCACAGTCCTTGTGGAGATGAAGTCCTGCCTTCACATTTGAGAACAACTTCCATCGTGTTGTGTGGCACTATCACCATGCTAAATGGGACAGACTTTGCACAGATCCAGTAACTCAAGACTGGGTAACCATGAGGCACTGTGGGCCATCAACAGCAGCAGAATTGTACTCCAGCACAATCTGTACCCTCATGGCCCAGCATATCCCCCACTCTACCAGTACCATCAAGCCAGGGGATCAACCCTGGTTCAGGAGGGCATGCCAGCAGCAGCACCAGGCATACCTGAAGATGAGCTGTCCACCAAACAGGTCTACTTGCATGCCAGATAGCGTAAGGAGCAAGTGATGGACAGCCACACGATCTCCCAACCAATGGATCAGATCTAAGCAATGCAGTCCTGCCACATCCAGTCATGAATGGTGGTGGACAATTAAACAACTCACTGGAGGAGGAGGCTCCACAAATATCCCCATCCTCAATGATGGAAGAGCTCAGCACATCAGTGCAAAAGATAAGGCTGAAGCATTCGAAGCAATTTTCAGCCAGAAATGCCCTGTGGATAATCCATCGCAGCCTCCTGTAGTGGTCCCCAGCAATACAGATACCAGTCTTCAGCCAATTTGATTCACTCCACGTGATATCAAGGAACGGTTGTAGACATTGGATACTGCAAAGGCTACCGGCCTTGACAACATTCCGGCAATAGTACTGAAGATTTGTGCTCCAGAACTTGCCGCTCTCCTAGCCAAGCTGTTCCAGTACAGTTACAACACTGGTATCTACCCGACAATGTGGAAAATTGCCCAATACGTCCTGTGCACAAAAAAAGCAGGACAAATCCAACCCAGCCAATTACTGCCCATCAGTCTCCTCTCGATCATCAGTAAAGTGATGGAAGGTGTCATCAACAGTGCTATCAAGCAGCACCTGGTCAGTGTTGCCCAGTTTGGGTTCCGCCAGGGCCACTAGGCTCCTGACCTCATTACAGCCTTGGTTCAAACATGGACAAAAGAGCTAAATTCCAGAGGTGAGGTGAGAGTAACGGCCCTTGACATCGAGGTTGAATTTGACTGAGTGTGGCATCAAGGAACCCTCGCAAAACTGGAATCAATGGGTATCGGGGGCAAACTCTCCAGTGATTGAAGTCATACCTGGCAAATAAGAACATGGTCGTGGTTGTTGGAGGTCAGTCATCTCAGCTCCAGAACATCATCTGCAGGGATTCCTAAGGTTAATGTCCTAGGTCCAACCATCTTCAGCTGCTTCATCAATGACCTTCCCTCCATCATAAGTTTAGAAGTGGGCACATTGCGCAGTCATCAGCTAATGTTCAGCACCATTTGCTATTCCTCAGATACTGAAGCAGTCCACGTTCAAATGCAACAAGTTCTAGACAATATTCAGGCTTGTACTGACAAGTGGCAAGTAACATTAACACTCCACAAAGGCCAGGCAATGACCATTTCTGATAAAGGCAATGTAACCACCATCCCTAGACATTGAATCCCCCACTATCAAAATCCTGGGGCTTATCATTGACCAGAAACTCAATTGGACTTGCTACATAAACACAGTGGCTACAAGAGCAGGTCAGAGGCTAGGAATACTGCAGCAAGTAATTCACCTCCTGAGTTCCCCCAAAATCTGTCCACCATCTACAATGTACAAGCCAGGAGTGTGATGGAATACTCCCAACTTTCTTGGATGGGTGCAGCTCCAACAAAACTCAAGAAGCTTGATACCATCTGGGACAAAGCAGCCCTGTTGATTGGCACTACATCCATAAGCGTCCACTCCCTCCACCACCGACGCTCAGTAGCAGCAGTGTGTTCTATCTACAAGATGCACTGCAGAAATTCAGACAGCACCTTCCAACCTGTGAGAGCTTCCACTTAGAACGACATGGGCAGCAATTACATGGGAACACCACCTCCAAGTTCCCCTCCAAGCCGCTCGCCATCCTGACTTGTAAGTATAACGCCGTTCCTTCACTGTCGCTGGGTCAAAATCCTGGAATCCCCTCCCTAATGACGTTGTGGGTCAACCCACAACAGCTGGACTGCACCGGTTCAAGAAGACTGATCCCCACCACCTTCTCAAGGGCAACTCGGGACAGGCAATAAATGCTGGCCAGCCAGCAATGCCCACATCCCACAAAAATGAATAAAGAAACCCCGCAGATTGCAGTGGTTCACGGATTCAGGCGAACTGTTTATTTTGTGTCGCTGTGAAATCTATGGACCATGTCTGTATTGGTTGTGGGCAGTCTTTTGATTATTTGAAAAACCTTGTGTTGTATTTTTAGTGCGCTATGCTCCTGATCTTTGTACATCTGGTACAGAGGGGTTTGAGCAAGTCAGAGGACCTTCTCGTTGGTCTGCTTCTGTGCCTGGCCAAGTTGGGTGTGACCAGGCTGTGGGGAAAGGTCTTAGTCGCCAATTGCCTGCTCCTCTTCCACAGCTACGTTTGTGCCTGGGTGTTGTTGGAGAGGGAGCATGCAATATTCACCAACACTCTCATTGCTTTTAGAGAAAGGAGGGCACTGCAGGGGGTAGGGAGCTTTATCTCCCCTTCCAACTTTATTTAGATTTTGCCCCCTACCTCTCCCTCACCTTTGGTGGTCTGCATTGCTATTGGTGGGCATTGGCCATAATTTGATTAATTGGAAACACCAGTGAATCCGTGACAATGGATGATTTAATGATTGAATGTGAGAGCTCTTTTGGATATGAAAAAGAAGAAAACATAAGGGGGTCACTGGGGAGGGGGTCTTGTGTGCAGTGGTAGCATGCCTACCTTTGAGCCAGGGGGACCGGGGTTCAAGTTCCACCTGGCCCAGAAGTGTGCCATAACATGTCTGAACGGGTTGATATAAAAAATGGTGCGTCAGGAGAGAAACATAGAACTGAGTAAGCCACTGAAATCCCTCCACGAAGGAAAGCTGTGTGTCTTGCTTTCTGTCTCACCAGCAAGCTTAGAATCATTTAACAGTCTCAAATTAACCTCAAATCTGAAAGAATTAGAGTTAGATTTTATTGTCACGTACACTCAAGTACAAAAATACAGGAGTACAGTGAAAATTGTACAATGTCGTCACATACAGCGCCATCTTAGGTACAAAGTACCTACTTAGAAATCTAAGGTACTAAAATAGATTAGGTACAAAAATAGAGGAAATAAAGAAAAGAAGCTAAAATTCTACATTACATTTCTTCATAGTATAAATTAGAAAAATAAAGACATAGAGTTAAAAGATAAATATTACAGTCTTTCAGTAACCTGCAGTTGCTCCACACTGGGGACTTTTCACATGTGGTTTTGCTGTCCCCTACACTGGGCCTACCCCAGCTGGGCTCACAAGCCACTGACTGTCCTCTGTGACAGGCTGACCACCTGACAACCCTGCTAACCGTGCAGCACACCCTCAGCACTGCACTGGGAAAACCATCCGAAATCTAGGGTTCAACTCCATGGAGTGGCACTTAACCTCATGCCCATCTGATTGAGAGGCACAAGTGCTATCTACTGAGCTAAAGCTGGCACTTCACCTGCATGCGGCAGTTTTACATCTCAATAGGTTTGCTCATTATTCATTGTCTTATCACCTTTCCTTTTGGTTTCAGTCACATTTTTACCCTTCTATTGTTTCAGATCCTGTATTTGTCTCCTTAAAGCCTGGTTTTAACACCCCACAGTCTTCCCCTCTGAAAATGGGAAGTGGGCAGTGGGACCCATCTAGACACACTAAAAAAGAACAAATGACAAAGAATACCTATCCAGAAATTCAAGAACAAAGGAACGCAGAGAAAGTACAAGATCAGAAGAGCCTCATGACAAATGGTTATGATCTGTCACAGTGTCCAGTTCCTAAAACAGAGAATGAGGTATGATGAAATACGAATCCAAAAAGAAATATTGTTATAACTGCGTTATTTGTGCCTACATTATACCAGCCAAGCAGCACTTTCTCAACATAAAAACATATATTTTTTATATATCCCTTAATATATATATAAAATGTTTTTGTGTATTTTATATATATATATATTACACATATTTGTGTGTATGTGTGGGTTTCAAAAACGTATAAGCCTATCTTGAGTTTTCTTTTTCTCAACCTAATGCTAGACAATGCCTTCAGATATTTATAATCCCATTCCTAGTTTTGTTTCCCCCATGGTTTCTGAGAGTGTCTTTTCACCATTTGCAAAACCACCCGAGTGGGCCTGTTCAGGAGTCTTGGCACGAGAGTTGTGGCAACACAAGTGAATATTTAAACACTGCTTTAATATTATATGAGTTTCTGTTTTGGCTACTCTTCCAGGCAGTGAGTTCCAGACTCTGCCACCCTCTGGGTGAAAACATTTCCCTTCACGCAGTAACCAGTCTGCATGCAGTACTCCAGGTGTGGTCTAACCAGATTTTTTTTATACAGCTTCAGCATAAACTCCCTGCTCTTGTAGTCTCTGCCTCGGCTAATAAAGGCAAGCATCCCAAATGCCTTTACCAAACAGCTTATCTACCTGCCCTGCTACCTTGAGGTATCTGTCGATATGCATATCAAGGCCCCTCTGATCATTGGTACTTTCCAGGGTCCTACCATTCAGCATGTACTCCCTTGTCTTCTAGTTCTCCCAAATGCATTATTGCACTTTTCCAGGTTGAATTTTATTTGTCACTACTCTGCCCAGCTCACCAATCCATTGATCTCCTCCTGCAGTTTACGGCTATCCGCTTCATCAATTATCAGCTGATCAATTTTCATGTAGTCTGTGAACTTCTTGACTATGCTCCTGACATTTAAATCCAAATGAACATACGTCACAAACAGGGAGGGCCCCAGCACCAAGCCCTGTGGCACCCTATTGGATACAGATTTTCAGACACAGAAACATCCCTCATAACATAATCCCTGCTTCTTGCCTCCAACCTAATGCTTTGCCTTGGATCCCATCTGCTCTTGCTTTCTTGACAAGGCAGCCTATCAAAAGCTTTGTAGAACTCCATACAGGTCATTATCAAATACATTACCTTCATCAATACTCTGGTTGCCACCTCAAAAGATTCAATCAAATTAGTCAAACATGACCTTACTTTCATAAATCAATGCTGACTATCCCTGATTAATCTGTGTCTGTCCAAGTACAGATATATTTTGTCCCTCTGCATTATTTCTAATTCTAATTCCCAAAAGGGAGGTTAGATTGACTAAGCTGTAATTTCCTGATCTATCCCTCCTCCATTCTTTAATAACGGGTTAACATCAGTAATCCTCTGGCAGAGGAGACTTGAAAATTACAGGTAAGGGCCCCTAATATCCTCTTCCCTTTCCTCCCTCAACTGCCTCGGATACATCTCATATGGGCTTGTGGATTTATCCATTTTTAAGACCGCTTAACACGTTATCTCTTCTCTCTCTCTTAATTTCTTCTAATATTTGACATCTTCCATCCTGAAATCTATTCTTACCCGCTTAATCTGCTTTTGCCCTTTTGGACGATGCATTCCAGATCATTATAATTCACTTTGTAATTTTACTTTCCCGTCATGTTGTATCTGCATTTTTTGCCAATTGCTTTAAATCTGTGCCCTCTAGTTACTGACTTTCTTGCCTT